AGAAAATAAATCAAATCTCTCAATAATAAATCAGCAATATTGACCAAAACTTGTCAGTGCTGTGTCTAACCTATTGTCCTCTAAAAGTAACTATTCAAAAATCCCTGTGAAATCCTTAGACTCCTTTATTATGATCTGTCTAGAATTTTAAAAGTTCTATTTGTTTCTATCACAATACTTTATTGGTCCACATTGACCCTTCCTTTTTAAAGACAATAAGAAAGTCATTGGTTTTGTGATTTAAGAAATGTGTGTGCACCTGTAATCCTATTTACTCAGAAGACATAGAAGGAGGATCACAAATTCCAGGCCAGCCCTGGCAAAGTTAGCGAGACCCTGTCTCAAAAACAAAATACAAATAGAGTATGGCTCAAGTGCTAGAGCACTCACCTGGCATGCATGAAGCTCTGGGTTCAACCCCAGCACTACACACACACAAAAAGTGTCCTCTGGAAGTAATATTTATTATTAAAAAGACTTTTCACAATGGGCACTTATACAAAAAAAATTGTGAGCATGCAATCTGCTGTTGAATAATTTTTAAAAGACAGTATATTTGGGCACTCTAATGGCCTCTCTATTAGACATTGCACTATTAACATTAACCTATAATAAAATTTTGTTTGAAAAGTTGTTAGTTTTATGAACATCAGTGTTTCTACTGTACCAGAAGAATAAACTGAGGGCAAGGAGACAATAAAAGTATTCACCAATTTTAGTAGACTTATTATCCACGATGGTAAAAAATTCTGAGTTCTAAATATGATACAAGGTAGAATTTTAATTAACACTTTAATATTATGGTGGTAATACTCATCACTCAATCCATAACTAGTGGGATAACTTTGGATATCACTCTCTAAAATTTAGCATTCTGATCTGTAGAAAGAAGAATTAATTATACTTCACTGAGGTGAAATGAAAATTCCACCTATGAAATCTTATTTCTGATACAGGAGAATGGTAAATGAAAATAAACTTTATAAATATTGGATATATTATAGTATGTATTGAGAGAGAACTCCAGAGCAAGGAGACAAGAATAAGGAAATTGGAACCAGGATGTCCCCAACCAATACCAAACTTTAAGGGTGGAACCATTTTACAGCCCAATTAGAGAGGATTATATCAGATCATGACAAAACTAACTTTAAGTCCTGAAAGTGAACTATCTACCAGAAGTCATATTTTTCTAAAATATTGAATGGTTAGCTTAGAACAGGGTTTTCAAAATATGGCCTCAGAACCAGCAGCTTCAGCATTTCCTGGGAACATGTAATAAATGCAAATTAGTAGGTCCCCCACCAAACCTACTGAATCAGAAACTCTGAGATGGGCCCAGCACTTGGTATTTTAACAAGTCTTGCAGATTATGTTAAAGTTTGAAAACTCTGGATTAGAACTCAAGATATTTCATCTGGACCTTACATCATAGGTTAGAGCGAGGTGAATGAAACAAGAGTTTAGTAATGTACAGATATAATTTAAAGGGTAGTAAAAGAAGCCCTGCTTGCTCCTTTCACTGGCTTAAAAAGTTCTAGAATGTTTTTAAAATGAGACCAACTGCTTTCAGTTTAGACACTGTCACTGGAAAACCAGTATGTCCATTAGTACGCCAACACTTATTATTTACCTTATTAATAAGCTGTCACTTGACAGTAGATAGAAAGGAAAGCACACTGTGGAGTATCATGGAACGGGCCAGGCTTAAAGCAGAGCAAGAGAAAGGAGACTCACAGGCAGTCATCCTCAACCCAAAGGAATGAGAGACCAGCTCAGGTGAGACCTTCAGTGAGGAGACTGGAGAGGCAGTACACAAAGAATAGGAGGCTCAAAGACATCTCCAACATCATCACTGCTTCAGCAGCACTTCACTATGCATTAGCTGAGATGATCTCTTCTGGCTTCTTAGAACAGCATGCTGTGTAAACTGAAAAGGTAGTGGTTTGCTGCTGGTTAACATTCAGCACCCATTTGATACATACATATGACTCGAGTTCAAACTAAACAAGAAATAATGTAAAATTTGGGGCTCTCTTTGGTACCCCCTCAATATAGTACCAGCAATTTCTTAAGATGAAATCAACAAATTCAGATTTTGATATGTAGAAAAACAAACTGACAGACTTACAAAAAGATTTAATATATCTACGTTGTTGTTACTGTTTTTTTTTACAGAACATGTACATTGAACATCTTACTAATACATGTATCAAAAAGTTTGCTATTAATTTTTTTAATTCTGTTAAGGTCAGGGAGTTGGGGGTATAGCTCAGTGGCAGAGTATTTGTCTAACATGAGTGAGGCCTTGGGTTCAAGACTCAGCACTGCAAAAAATTTTTTTTTCTTTTAAAAATCCATGCACACACAAAAATTCTATTGAAGTCCTTGATGACTATGATAGTATTTGAAAGCACATAATTGTGTACTAAAATCTCTATCTTCTCAGAGCATCCTCACCATACCACATACATGTTAACCTTTTCATTATACATTTCACTTTTCAAAGTTTTTCTACATGCCTCTTTAAAAAAATCAATTAAATGTAAAACTCAATTCACAATGCTTTTTATTATGACACAAACATGACTTCTACCATGAGCTAGGTAGAATCAACATTCTTGTACAAGTTATCCCTGGAAAAGTAGTAATCCCTGATGCCTGAGGAATCCTACGACAAGAAGCAAATGTCCGCGTACAACAGCCCCAGTATATGCTTTGTATCAGTTCACAGGTGACATTTTAACCTCTAATCAAGCATGGCAAGACGAGTCAAAATCAAGGTTGACACTTTGTCCTTTAACTTGTTCCAAAAGTACTGTAGGGGTTTTACTGTCTGATGTTACACCATATGTGCAAACCCCAGATCCAGCAGGCAGGGTTAAGCAGGATGCCTCTGTATTTTGCCATTCTCCTGCTTCCTGTTGTTTTTGGAGCAACCCTCACTTTAGCTAAACATAACCCTTCTGGGAGAATCATTTTTAGTAAGAAAATCTGCCTCCTCACAGAGTTCACTAGACATTGATACTTTTCTGAAACACTTCAGTCTATGAGATTCACAGAACTCACTGGTTTGACATTTTGTAAAGTCTTTATAAAACCCATCCATTTTATGAAAAATTTAATAAAATCCAGCTCCTTATCACAATTATGCAATGAATAACAGGAGAAATTCTTTCGGAAGGGTTTTGTTTTGTCATCTGGTCTTTCATTGCCCGATAGTGATGACTGACAGATTTTCAAAACATTTTCCATATTTGAAGTTTTTTTTTTAATTCTAAATTTACTATTATCTCTAGCAACAGGCTTATTTATTTACTTGTATTCTTAAGAGGTTAGAATTTTTTTTAAGCCCTCTTAGGTTTTAAATCCAGAATTTTTTTTTGCCTGATAAGAGAAATGCTTATGAGAAATGAGAGAAAACTGTTAGTAACAAATTATATCTTTAGCTTAATGTCAGTAACTCTCATCAAGCCAGAGTTCAGCAAAAGCATACACAAAGAAAAAGCATGGTTCTTTTAAAAATATATATATAACTTTCCCAATTGTCTGTCCCTTTGGGTTTTCTGTAAAGTAGAACATTTAGCTCTATATAATTCAAAAAAATCTATACACAGCTTAGATAGGGAACCATAAATCTCATGAGCCTCAGATTCACTTCCTGTTGCCTTCCTTCCTTATACGTTTAAAGATAATCAATAAAAACTGATTTCTCTTTGTAAGCATTTTCCTATTCTGCCAGACATAATAGCAGTCTCTGCCCCCAAAATGAAGAAAAAATGGAAAGTAATATTTACCATAAGAGGAGAAAATGCAACTGCCTAAGCATTTTTCTTGAGCCAAGTCAAACAACAGCAAACCCAGTTTATTCTTAAAGAAAAAAGTTTTTTAATATTCCTGATTAGCTCTACTCTAAAAATCTGTGTTATCAACAAGTTTTCAAATCCTGGGCTTTTATTTCCACTTTCAACAACAATCACTTCATGTTCCCTAATAGTTTTACTATATTTTTATGTAAATATACATATCACAGGCAAGATTTTTATCAGTAGTGAGTATTGAAGTAGTAAGGAGAGGACTGTCACTCCTCCTCCCCCAAAAGGCCTCCCAAAACAGACTAAAATGCAAAATCAAAGAGAAAACAACCAATTGAAAACAGTTAATTCAGGGTAAGGAAATAAAGGACTGCAAACAAATCTAACTCTTGTTTCAAACTACTCAACTTTTGTCACTTGAATTTTCAGCACGCTTACTTAAAATATGGCTTTTATTCTGAGTAACCTGAAATAATCCATTGGAGTTCTCTAATATTTACCAGCTATCTAAGAACTATTCATTTTAATGTCTTTTCTCCTGCATTCTTTACAAAAGACTGTAAGAAAACACTAAACCAAAGAGTCACATGAAGTTACAAACACATTTTATAACTTTTCCAGGTTTCCTATTTCCCTTCAGTCTGCACTATCTATAGAGGTTGTCATATTTCACCAGGGCAGATTGTAACTCAGGCAAGTTCAGCCAGTCAGGTTGAAGAATGGAGGGAAGCAAGGTGGAAAACATATAAAGTGCAATTAAAACCATATGACCAGAGATATTGAGGTAATACTTGCTGGAGAAAAGCCAAGTAAAAAATCAAGCCTTTTCTGGTGTTAGTGAAGCCATCCAGTCCATTTGGGACAAGTATGCCTCATTCCTTAAAAGCAGTATTTCTCTCTCTCTCTCTCTCTCTCTCTCTCTCTCTCTCTCTCTCTCTCTCTCTTTCTTTTTTATTAATCCCCAAACCAAAAGCACCCAGGGAAGTTAAGTCCTAATGTGGTAATTAGCCTTTAGCTATCATTGCAGCATAGTAAAGTTTATAGTTGTTAATATAAAACTGATCTCTTATTTAAGATAGTGGTATTTATTTAGACAGATAGTTTAATATTGGGCAATATTAACATCCCACCAACGAATAGTAAAGCCTTGTGATAACAATGTTGAATTAAAAACTTTTTGCAATTTCCTATGAAACCTTTTTACCTCTTAAAAATCTGAGGTTCCAGTAAGGTAAAGCTAATTCAATTGCCTATGTTTGGACAGAGAGAACAAGAAGCCAAAAGCTATAAAGTCTCCCAGACATATTACAAACAAGCTAAATGTTACTGGGTCACATAGGTGGCACCTAGCAGATCAAGGATGTATGCTTATGGATGTATAGAAATAAAGAGTCTTCGAAGCTGTAAAGCAATTCTAGTAAAAACCTTTGACTTTGGTAGCCTATCACCAAAATCATTTCATATTTATTTCTCCTGTGCACCCCAAATGCCAATCATCTCAGTAGACCAATGAAACACACAATTTTTAATATATAGCTTTGGGATTCTGGTAAACAACTCAAGTTGAGCAAGTCACTTACCCCCCAGAAACTGGATTCCACCAGCCACTCTTCCCACTGTCTGGAGATGAGCTCGGACACACAGCAGCCCATGAGGGCGGTGAGCGCCACCAGGAGAAGTAGACCACAACCCAGGCCGGTCACTATGGTGCAGATCCTCCATTCCGCGCTGGGGATGCCCTGGAAGGAGGCATAGCGCCCACATTCCTCCACCATCACCATCATCTGTCGACTCTCATCATGCACAGGATACGAGCATCTCCGGAAAGTACCAAAAGACACAGACTTGCCCAACTGAGATCCCCAGAGCCAATAAGGCATAAAGAACCCCACACAAGATGTGGCAGCACAAAGAAAGGAGAGCAAAGCCCAGATCACTCCGGTACAAGTCAGGCTGGATGCCATGTTTCATCAGACAGGGAATGTTCTGGGGATAGCAGGAGTAAATGTGAAGTCACTGGAAGCCCACAGGTAATCCACAGTTCTGTAAGCAGTGTGTGTCTACTAGCAAAAAGTATCTTCAGTCTTACTGGGCATCAACTTCCCATCCTCTGTAGTAAGGATGATAGTCCCTGATAAAACAGCAATAGGAAGTATTAAAAGTTAAATACTTTTAGAGAAGCAATAACACATACACAGTTGATCTACAATTTTCAGTTAAATATTCAAAGTTGCCTCAACACTTCAAAAAGTGGAAAAAAACTAACTTTCTCTGTAACTCAAGTTTTGTCAAACTAGCTAAATGCTTCTAAATTAACTCTGACAGCTATTTACTTAAAGAAATACATTACTTTTATTTGCTAAATCAGTGAGTTCATTTCAAACACATTAAAAGCAATGTAGCATTTTTACTGGCAGTCAACATAATTCAGGATTTTAAAATAAAATGACTTGGCTTTCAAGTTCACAATCACAGTTTGTAAGCAACATTTCTGGGTCCCTTTAAGAATGTGTTAAGACTCTACATGAGTCCAAACCAAAAAATTAAGATAATTGTTCACAGCTGTAGAGTACCATAAATTTAGCAAACATTGTGAAGTATGTAGGCACATACATTGGGCAGAACTATTATCAGACATTCCCAACACTGAATCAAGGCACACCCTGGAGAACTCCTTCAACCTTAATAATTACCTTCTAGTGTTAAAAAAAAAAAAAGGCTGTAGTGACTTATTCCACGTCTCTGTAATCACTCATTGGCTCCAATAATTTCATGCTGTTGAGCATTTCTCCTGCTGAACAAACTGTCTGGTCTGAAAGGTAACCCACACTTTTCACAACCTAGGTCAAATCCCCATCACTCAAACACTTCCAGGTGCATTTACTTCCATGCCGGCAGCTCCTGGCCCACTTCCCACAGTTTCCATAAAGAAATGAAGGTAGAAATACAGAGTCCATCCACCCTAGAGTTCCTAACTCCAGCTTTTAGGGTCCACAGCAATCCCTTGTCCCTATCTGTCTCCTCCCACACATCACCGCATCTCCAGTTCTGGTTACCACTCAAAGGGAACTCAGGCTACTTTAAAAATGTTTTGCCAACTGGGCTCAGTGGCAGAAGTTGGTCTGTCTGGGCCATTAGGTTGGCCAGGGGATACGCGTGGGAAGAGGAAGGCGCTCTTCCCCAGCTGGGGTGAAGCGCCCTTATCAAGACAAGCCCATATTCAGCTCCCTGCAATTGCCTCACCCACCCACCCCACCCATGGAGACACACAATAATCTCTCCATTCTAAAAAAGAGGGAGAAAGACATTTTTCAGCCGGTTCGGGAGGAGATAAGGATGGGAAGGCAGCACCCCCCGGAGGCAGACGCCGACATCAGACGCGGCGGGTTGGCAAAGCCCACAGATAGCCAAGCTCAGGAAGTCCGGAGCCGGAGCAGTACAACTCCAGCGTTCGGGGGAAGGGGCCGAGGGAAAGAAGCCGGATCGCCTACCCACCCCTGGAGATAGTCGATCGCTCTACTCACATGGCTGACGGGTGGTGGCCACCTTTTCTCCTGCGTCCCGGGCGCGCACACAACTTGCTGTCTTTCCGGGACGGGAATATCCGCGACACAGAAGACCGTCTTTCTCTTCTTCGCCGCTGTCCCCAACAGCCGCAGAGATCAGGGGCGACTCGGAAGAGCAAGGGCGGGCAGGAGCGGAGGGTCTGCAGAAGAGCGGTAGCGTGGATCGCGGTGGACACCCCACTGGCCGCGGGTCTCCGTCGGCAACCCGGCGGAGCGCTGTGGCCAAGCGCCCGGCGCCCGGATCGCAAGCAGATGAAGCGCTCTCCCTTTGGCAGGCGAGGCACGCACCGCCTCCTCCCCTCGGCTGCCCGGCCCTCCTCTTTCTCCTGTCCCCTCCCCTAGAGCCCCGCGGGACCCGGCGCAGACAGATCGAGGACGCTGCGCGGCCACTGGGGATGATCCTGGCGCGCGGGGCGGGGAGCTGGCGCGCCCCGCTACCCACACGGCTCCAAGCCCACCCCTGGGGTGTGGCGGGGGGTGGGGGGGCAGCTTTCGCGGATGGTCTGGCCCCGACTCCCATCTGCCCTCTCTGGTCGCATCTCCTTCCTAGGGGAGAGTAAGGGAGGCAGGCAGATTGAGAAGTAGGGGACAAAGTTGCTCGGATGCTCCCGAGGGAACGGGAAACTAGATGCAATCCTTGTTTGCTTTTCTAGGTCAAGTGTTTGGGGTGTAAGCGCCAATTTTCCTATCGCCTTTAGGAGACAGAGTTGGGAAGGAAGGCCTTAAAGAGTAGGAAAAGTGACTCTTCTGAGCTTTGAGGAGGTTCTTGAGAAGTGGTCACTTGGAAGATGGTGAGCAAGGTGGAGGTAGATTTAGGAATGAGAAGAGCTGAGAGCGCAAGGCTCCTGGATTCCCTAGGGGCCGCCGCCTTTCCAGAAAAGCTAGGGAGAAGGCAGGGGAGACTTCCAGAGAGCCTCTCCCAAGAGACAAAGACACAGAATCTTTTCAAGGCATTCCTCTTCCTCTCCTCCTCCTTTCCTTTCCTCCCCTCCTGTCTCCTCTCCTCCTTTTACCTCCTCCTTCCCTCCTTTTCTTCCTTCTTCCCTCTCCTTCTCTCCTTCTTTCCTTCCTCCCTCTCTTCTTCCCTCAATCCCTCCCTTCCTTCCCTTTCTCTCTGCCTTCTTTTCTCTCTCCCTCTTCCTCCCTCCGTTCTTTCCTCCCTCATTACCTTCTTCCCTCCCTCCCTTCTCCCTTCCTCCTCCTCCTCCTTCTTTCTTCTCTTCCTCTCTCTTCCTTCTTCACTCTCTTCATCGCCATCTCTCCTGATCGATCTCACGATCTGTATCCCTATCGAATTTCTCTTTTAAGAAACAACTAATTTTGATTTCCTCTCTGGAGTGTGGTCTTTTTCTACCTGTCATTGGCACCAACCCCTTTAGAAGTTAGAACTAGATTGGTGAGATGACTGTGGGAGCCTTTGCTGAAGATGGTATTTTAAGAAGCATTCCATCTGGGAATAGGAGTTTTTGAAGCAGATACTCTTCCAGATAATTTTTGTGATGTGCCTTTTCAAAGTAGTTGTAAGTAATAAATGAGTAGATATAAATTTCACAATAAATTTTCAAATCATGCCATTTAATTTGATGGGGTTTTTTTCCACAATCACAGCAGGAGAGGAGTGTTCTTTCATCATTAGTTTGACAGACTTTAAGGGGTTGGTTCTGACCCTTCTGAAGGTCATATATCTTTACAAGAATATGAAGAAACTAATGAACCTCCCCCGGAGGAAATGCACATACCTACTAAGTACGCTTTTTCACAGGGCTCTCCAAAGAGAGAAGAGGGAATGTGTCCCTCAGGAGATATGTGATAAGGAAGGTCTGGAGACATTTTTGGTTATCATGACCCATGACTGGGAGTCTATTGTCATTTGTGGATAGGTCAGGGATCCTCCAATGCACAGGACAGCTCCAAGAGTGATCCGGTGGCAAGTATCAAGAGTGCCAAGATTGAGAAAACCTGTTTCAATGAAATGTCAGATGGTCCTAGGCCCCAAGCCCACCCACAAATCTCAGGTTCAGAATTCCTGATTTAGGGATTTTTGTTTGGTTGGTTATTTTTTTTAAGTTGTTTAGTTTTTGTACAAATCACCAGTTTCTGAGCTCCATGGCAGCATTGACTGGTCTGACTTTCAGGTAGATTCCACACACTTAGTTATGTGGAACCTTCATATCTGCATAATGGGAAAGTAGGAGATATGACCATATAAAGTCAAACTAATAATAGTGAAAGTCAGACTCACCTGCACATAACCTGCTGAGGAAATGGGCCTAGGACATCTCTCAAGCTTGGAGGAGCTTTAAATACTTGAGATGGATGGCTAGGGAGAAATTAGATCATGTTTAGCCCACATTGAGTTCTTCGTGTGTTAGTCAGTAAACTAAAGTTTATTAATAGATTGTCTAATCCTCAAGAAAAACAACCCATAAAGGTACAATTATTATTTTACAAACAAGTAATTTACCTCCAAAACTTACGACTAAAAAAGTAGAATTTTTAAAAAATCATTATTTCATTGTATCAAGCAGAATAAATGCTATCAGAGAAATTATACTTAAGCTGAAAAATAGGAAAGGAAGAAGCCAGATTTTTTAAAATTTTTATCAGGATGCAATATCAGCTATTTGTAAAAGTACTGCATGCTATATGTTGGGGCTCAATTCTAATTTAAATCAGTGAATTTAGACAAATGGTGACCTTTCTGAGTTTATGTTACCTCATTTGTAAAATGAGCTTAAACTAGATGATTTTTAATATTACTTAAGCTGGTGACGTTCAACATGATGACTAATAGGTACTCACATTCGAGAAGGAATTTAGGGTTCATATAATCTCATTCAAGTACATGATTTTGCAGATAAGAAAACAGCCTCACAATCCTTCCAGTGTCTTAGCCCAAGCTGAGCCCAGAATCTGTGTGTCTTGATTTCTCTTTTCATTCCACCATGTAATTATCTTCCCAAACTATAAAATCTTCTGAATTACTCTTTGGGTTCTTGCATGCATACTTTATAAGCAAGATGCAGTATAATGTCTTTAGAACCCTTGCAATAAATTTGCACCTCCAAAGGATCTTTATGTTACTCCATAGCCAGAAGCTCCCACACAGCAAATGCTGCTCATACCTCCTATTCCAGCTTTTGGCTTCTAGTACATTTGGATGGTAGGCCTATTGAGTCATAAGATGAGATCATAAGTATGAAAGTATGTGGAGAGCTATAAGGCATTTATGGCTACCCCAATATTAATTCCCAATCCTCTCTCCCTTGCTCACCAGACATTCTTCTAGCCTCCCTTAAAGCTAGAAGTGGCCACTTGACTCCCTTCTAGCCAATGAATCTGCTAAGGAGGCATCTTGGGAAGATCATATTCTGATAAAATAAGGAGGCATGAGAGACAGTCCTGTCACCTTCGTGGCTGTCTTTGTGCACATTCTTGAAGGATGAAATGTTTGGAGCTATGGTAACCATTTTATATTCCTGTGGGGAGGGTTGCAGAGACATAATTCCAGCCCCCTAAAACCATGAAGCTGTTCACCTTTTGAATTTATTTATTTATTACATATTGCTACAGATCAGACCCAGGGCCTTGGACATGCTGGGCAAGTGCTCTATCAATGAACTATATTCCAGCACTTGAATTTTTGAGATAGCGTCTTACTATGTAACCCAAGGTAGCCTTGAATTTACAATCCTCCTGCCTCCTCCTTCTAAAAGTGTTGGTATTACAAGCATGAACCACCATGCTTGGCTCCTTTTGAATTTTTTTAAAAGTAAATTATAGATTGTTGATAATGATTTAAGTCACTGTGAACTGAATTTTCTTCTAGTAACTGAAAGCATTCTTAACTGACAAAGCACTGTACATATAAGATATATTCTCAGTGACAGGAAATATATACTAGTCAACATTATATCTCAGTGCTTGGCAATAATAAGTAGATAATGATTGAATGTGCACTGAGAAATTTCATGAATAAATATTGTGATTACTATTTTTCTTTCTACAGAGTGATATTTACTTTTAAGCAAATGGGAGTGTGCTATGTGAAATTATAGAAAGTGTAAGTGTGAAAAATAGGAAACAGAATCAATCATTTATGACCATTAGGGAGAGGTTAGAAAAGAATTTCTTTAGTACATGTTGGTGCAAACACTATAGGTTAGCTGATACAATGTCATATCTGACTCCCTTCATCCACATCTTTATCTACTATAGAAGCAGTTAAAGTTAAAATCTCTATTTGCCAGTCTTTGATGGAGTTTAAGTGGCTATGTGACAGTTCTGACCAATGAGAGGCGCCATCATACCCACTTCCTCCTTTTTCCTGTCCAAGGAATGGATGTGATGGCATCTTGTACCACAGACCTTTCTTTCAGTCAGGAGGAGATGGCATGTAGACAAAAAACAACACACTAAGAATGAGAGAGTGAAATGCTCAGAGGAGTCAGGCAGGATCTTCTATATCTGCATTAGATTTGAACTTCTTGGATGAGACCAATAACCTTTTCCTTTTGAAGTCACTGTTAATAATTGTTCTTTCAGCCAAAGGGTTAGCACCTGAGCAAAGTAGATTGGACACAGAGCATGGAGACATGAAGCAGAGCAGAGAGAGGACAGAACAGGGTAGTGGGCGAATGGATTCTCAACAAATGGTAGAGGCAGCAGGCAGTGCCTACAGTATGAAATTAGAGAATATTGACTCTTCATGAAATGTGTCAGTAGAAACAGGAACAACTATGAACATAGTTTAAATGTCTCTTCTTCGCGTATTAACTCTGAGCAGTTCAGACAGACCTAAAGTTTTTAACATTATAAAAAGGCCTAATACAAAAAGATTCTCCTTAAATATAAGACCTGCAAGAGAGATGGGTGGTTCCAAAGAGAACTTGTAGACAACCAAAGAGTGACTGACTCTAACAGGGCCAGTGAAGAGAAATTTTCTTAGCTGCTCCTGCATGCATAGCACATCAGTTCCCCGTCAATCATTTGTTCCTCAACAGACACTGAGATATCCCCCCAAAATGCTCCACCAGGTAAAAATGACAAAGTTTTCAGAACAAAAGCAGCAAACAAAGCTTAAAATAAGTACTTTGAGATTGTGGTAAGTTCCTCCTTTTTGCTATTTCCTTCTTTCCTTCATTCTAAATTACCCCTTCCCATCAGAAACCCTTTGTAGCACTAACTTAAGTGAGTATTGCTATGGTATTTTACTGTGTTATGGTCACCTTATACAGAGGAAAAACC